TGTTGCATTTGTGGATTTAGAAAAGGCATATGATAGGATGGCTAGGGAGCAATTTGGTAGATGTTCTAAGTGTATGGAAGAGATGGTAGGTTACTTAAAACAGTGTTTTTATGAGGATTACTTAAAACAGTTAGAGTTTTTATGAGGATAGCAAGGCTCAGGTTAGATTATGTAATAGAGATGGAGATTATTTTCCAGTAAAATCTGGCTTTAGACAGGGATGCACGATGTCACAATTTTTTTGTTATCCTCATCACCTTGCTCTTGCCTTTGTTTACTTTTAATTTCCTTCTTTTACAATTTTTTTTTTTCAACAAGTCGGCCGTCTCCCACCGAGGCAGGATGACCCAAAAAAGAAAGAAAATCCCCAAAAAGAAAATACTTTCATCATCATTCAACACTTTCACCACACTCGCACATTATCACTGTTTTTGCAGAGGTGCTCAGAATACACAGTTTAGAAGCATACACATATAAAGATACACAACATATCCCTCCAAACTGCCAATATCCCAAACCCCTCCTTTAAAGTGCAGGCACTGTACTTCCCATTTCCAGGACTCAAGTCCGACTATATGAAAATAACCGGTTTCCATGAATCCCTTCACTAAATATTACCCTGCTCACACTCCAACAGATCGTCAGGTCCCAAGTACCATTCGTCTCCATTCACTCCTATCTAACACGCTCACACACGCTTGCTGGAAGTCCAAGCCCCTTGCCCACAAAACCTCCTTTACCCCCTCTCTCCAACCCTTTCGAGGACGACCCCTACCCCGCCTTCCTTCCCCTATAGATTTATATGCTTTCCATGTCATTCTACTTTGATCCATTCTCTCTAAATGACCAAACCACCTCAACAACCCCTCTTCTGCCCTCTGACTAATACTTTTATTAACTCCACACCTTTTCCTAATTTCCACACTCCGAATTTTCTGCATAATATTTACACCACACATTGCCCTTAAACAGGACATCTCCACTGCCTCCAACCGTCTCCTCGCTGCTGCATTTATCACCCAAGCTTCACACCCATATAAGAGTGTTGGTACTACTATACTTTCATACATTCCCTTCTTTGCCTCACAGGTAACGTTTTTTGACTCCACATATACCTCAACGCACCACTCACCTTTTTTCCCTCATCAATTCTATGATTAACCTCATCCTTCATAAATCTATCCGCCGACACGTCAACTCCCAAGTATCTGAAAACATTCACTTCTTCCATACTCCTCCTCCCCAATTTGATATCCAATTTTTCTTTATCTAAATCATTTGATACCCTCATCACCTTACTCTTTTCTATGTTCACTTTCAACTTTCTACCTTTACACACATTCCCAAACTCATCCACTAACCTTTGCAATTTTTCTTTAGAATCTCCCATAAGCACAGTATCATCAGCAAAAAGTAACTGTCAATTCCCATTTTGAATTTGATTCCCCAAAATTTAATCCCACCCCTCTCCCGAACACCCTAGCATTTATTTCCTTTACAACCCCATCTATAAATATATTAACCCTTTGACTGTCGCGGTCGTATATGTACGTCATAGGAGATACCGTGTTTGACGTATCTATACGCATAAATTCTAGCGGCTTCAAATCAAGCAGGAGAAAGCTGGTAGGCCCACATGTGAGAGAATGGGTCTCCATGGTCAGTGTGCACCATATAAAAAAAATCGGGGAGCCAGTGGTGCATTGTGGGAATACCATTTCAGTCGTCCTTTTTCAGCATGTCTAGCGGTAAGAAATATGTGACTTCCCTGCAAATCTGGGACTCTTCTCTTCCCAAGTGATGCTCTAACACAGATGGAAGTGTCAATGAAGATCAATTTCATGATTTCCAGGAGTTTGAGACCAAAAGCAATGGAGGAGGTGGAGGAGGAGGAGGAGGAAGAAGAGGAGGAGGAAGAAGAGGAGGAGGAAGGAAGGAGGGAGGGAGGAAGAAGGAGGGAGGGAGGAAGAAGGAGGGAGGGAGGAGGAGGAGGAGGAGGAGGAGGAAGGTGGAGGAGGAGGAGGAAGGTGGAGGAGGAGGAGGAAGGTGGAGGAGGAGGAGGAAGGTGGAGGAGGAGGAAGGTGGAGGAGGAGGAGGAGGAGGAGGAGGAGGAGGAGGAGGAGAAGAAGAAGAAGAAGAAGAAGAAGAACAAGAACAAGAACAAGAACAAGAACAAGAACAAGAACAAGAAGAAGAAGAAGAAGAAGAAGAAGAACAAGAAGAAGAACAGAACAAGAACAAGAACAAGAACAAGAACAAGAACAAGAACAAGAACAAGAACAAGAACAAGAACAAGAACAAGAAAGAAGAAGAGAAGAAGAAGAAGAAGAAGAAGAAGAAGAAGAAGAAGAAGAAGAAGAGAAGAAGAAGAAGAAGAAGAGAAGAAGAAGAAGAAGAAGAAGAAGAAGAAGAAGAAGAAGAAGAAGAAGAAGAATAATAAGAATAATAAGAATAATAAGAATAATAAGAATAATAAGAATAATAAGAATAATAAGAATAATAATAATAATAATAATAATAATAATAATAATAATAATAATAATACCTAATACCTAATAATATGTAATAATATGTTCCCTTGAGGCATGAAAACAGTTCACCCCATGACAGTGACAAGATAAGGGGAGATAACATCTGATAAGAGCTGACCTTTGATGAGCTAAAACGAGGGTGGAGGGAGGGGGGCAGCTGTCCATCTGTCAAGAGCCAGGAGGAGGAGGAGGAGGAGGAGGAGGAGGAGAAGGAGAAGAAGAAGGAGGAGGAGGAGGAGAAGGAGAAGGAGGAGGAGAAGGAGGAGGAGAAGGAGGAGGAGAAGGAGGAGGAGAAGGAGGAGAAGGAGGAGGAGAAGGAGGAGGAGAAGGAGAAGATGACGACGAACAAACATTTGTCTGTCTGCCAAACTCCCTGTCTCCATCTAGCTCTGTCTCAGAGAGAGCCACAAGACTGTGTCATCATCACGTTTACTCACATCTTCAAGCAGAGTATAGCACTTTGTCTGGATTTTTTGGGTTATCCTAGGTAATTTACACTATGTATAGTTGTATTTATGTGTACCTGTGAGACAGAGATAGACAGAGAGAGAGAAAGAGAGACAGACTGAAAGAGATAGAATGAGGGAGAAAGATAATTAGATAGAATGGAGGGGGAAGCAGCATCCGACCCCATTGTTTTGACAGGCGGTAGGGGGAGTGACTAATGAGACAATATGTCATTTTGACAGCTGCCGACTCCTGACTCAAAACAATTATAAGCCACACACTCGCACACAAGACAAGCTTGCTGAAGGGTGATAATAGCAGTTTTATGAAAGTATCTAGTGACTATATATGTGTATATATATTATAGAAACCAGAAGCAAGAAGGGAAGGCAGGAATGAAGGAAGGACTAGATGAAAGGAAGGAAAAAAGTAATGAAGGACAGATGAAGGAATGTAGGAAGAGAGGTGGAATGCCCTCCAGGTAGCCTCCAGGTAGGAAAGGAATGAAGGAAATTAGGAAGGAAGGAATGATGACACACGACCATTTACCTAGGATAACTACATAACACAACTGCCTGCTAATACTTTGAAGAAAACTGCTCAGACGAGGTGTTTTGTCTTTGTACATAAAAAAAAACTTCAACAAAAATGCACACACACTGATTTTATGTGTGAGAGTGTAAAACACCATTGTGTATGACACCATGTTTTATGTGTGAGTGTAAAACACCATTGTGTATGACACCATGTTTTATGTGTGAGAGTGTAAAACACCACTGTGTATGACACCATGTTTTATGTTTGAGGAGTGTAAAACACCACTGTGTATGACACCATGTTTTATGTGTGAGGAGTGTAAAACACCACTGTGTATGACACCATGTTTTATGTTTGAGGAGTATAAAACACCACTGTGTATGACACCATGTTTTATGTTTGAGGAGTGTAAAACACCACTGTGTATGACACCATGTTTTATGTGTGAGAGTGTAAAACACCACTGTGTATGACACCATGTTTCACAGAGTTCCACAAGCTGCAGAACTTCTAGGAATATGTTCAGTGACTGTATATTGGTATATATATTATAGAACAATAGTAATAAACAATTTTTTGTATTGTTTGTTTTTGTAAACAAGTTTTGTAAACAATATTGATAATTATGTTTGTGTGCTTATTGTGTTGTATACAACGAGTGTATATATGTACATTGCACCTTACCTTGGTCTCACAGGCCACATAAGTTATGTGAAAAAATAAAATAGTGAAAAAAAACAACAAACCTTCAAATACAAGTAAACTAAAGTTTACCGGGTGAGCGGCAGTCGCCGCTGTTGCCATACGCGGCTCATTTTCTGCAAACTTCATGCCTCTATATCTCGGTAAGTACTGATGGGAAAAATTTTTTGGGGGGACTAAAACAATCAGAAAAATAATCTTAACATTTTCATAAGAAAAAATAATTTTTTTTTTTTCGAATATTTTGCGACACCAGGAGACACTTCAGGATTGGGCCCTTCGACAGTCAAAGGGTTAAACAACCATGGTGACATTACACATCCCTGTCTAAGACCTACTTTTACCGGGAAGTAGTCTCCCTCTCTTCTACACACCCTAACCTTTTCAATTTCTCTTCAGAATCTCCCAAAAGCAATGTCATTGGCATTAACAAAAAGCAACAGTGACAAGTCCCACTTTGTATCAGATTCTTTATATTGTAAACCACACCTCTCCCCAACACCCTGGCATTCAATTGTTTTACAACCCTATCTATAAATATGTTAAGCAACCATAGTGACATCATACATCCATCTAAGGCCTATTTTTATTGAAAAATAATCTTCCTATCTTCTACATACCCTAACCTGAGCCTATCTTCATAAAAAGCCTTAACTGCTCTCAGTAACCTATTCAATACACTGGCAACATCTACCATATTGCTCCCCTACCCACTATCATGCGTTTTTTTCTAAATCAATAATAATAACCAAGTAATAACAACACATAATATTATACTATTACCTTGATAGGCTTCCTAAAATTCAACAGTTCCTGGAGAATAAGAGCACCATGTAGAGACACTGGAGGCAAGTTGTGCTCTGACTGTCGAGCCTGATAGTCTTCGTAAGTCAGCATCCGCAACAGCAACGGAGCAAACTGTTTCTGTAGTGTCTCTGGCTCCCAGCACCCAAGTATCTGCATCAAAGTCTATCAAGCAACCCAGTTACTTTCACAAAATTAAAAAAAAATTTAACTGGGATTTTACTGGACAGTAATTTAAACCAAGAATACCCAGATTTAAAATATCTGTAAGAAAATTTTTATCAAAATGACTTTTGCATAAAAGTACATACACTGATTCACTATACAGTACTACTGTGCTGGTTTTTTATGGTGACAATGTCCTTTTTTTTTTCTCACAAATAACCTGTGAAAATTTTTGAACATTCTCCGTTGTTTTTAAATCATTCAAATATGCCCTGTTTAACACCTAGCTGAAAAGCCAGAAATCTATTTCAACTTATTTTTACTTAACAGTCCTATACCAAAATTAAGAAAATGTATTTGGTAAAAAATTTAAATTAAATTTCAGTACTGTATACAGTGGGCATCATAAACATGCACACACATAAGCACACATGCAAATTTAATACAAACTCTTTGATACCTAAATTTCGTAAATATTGTACCCTTGGGGGTTGCTAAGTATCCAAATGCAGAAGAATATTACCAAGCATTGGGAGGGGGATACTGTTGAATACATTTTTCCTCTCTAGCATTTATCAGTGTCTGAAACATTTATTTGCAATGATGGTGCATGGCCTGATGATTATACATAATAAACTAGTAGAAATAATGACACTTGCATAAAGCAAGTAAAAAAAAAAAAGTGAAACTGCTGCTTGTGAGTGTGTGAAAATACAGTGGACCCCCATGAATTCGTGGTTCCGAATTCGCAGCTTCAGTAATTCACAGATTTTTCCTTAGAACCTAACTAATAATTGTTCAGCGGAAATCCCTGCAAACTCATGGATTTTTTTTTTTTTGGTGGCAATATAAAAATTTTTATGCATTTTAATGCTAAACATTAAGGAAAACATAATTTAATAATTTTGTAACATAAATATTAATGTAAATTCTGCAAAATTTCCATATAAAATATAATACTCTAACTAAATTAAATTATTACCATATATTTACTGTATGTTAGGTAGTAGGTTGGTAGACAGCAACTGCCCAGGGAGGTACTACCATCCTGCCAAGTGAGTGTAAAACAGAAGCCTGTAATTGGTTTACACGATGGTAGGATTGCTGGTGTCTTTTTTTTCTGTCTCATACACATGCAAGATTTCAGGTACATTTTGCTATTTCTACTTACACTTAGGCCACACTACACATACATGTACAAGCATATATATACACACACCCCTCTGGGTTTTCTGCTATTTTCTTTCTAGTTCTTGTTCTTGTTTATTTCCTCTTACCTCCATGGGGAAGTGGAACAGAATTCTTCCTCCGTAAGCCATGCGTGTTGTAAGAGGCAACTAAAATGCCAGGAGCAATAGGCTAGTAACCCCTTCTCCTGTATATACTAAAATGTAAAAGAAGAAACTTTCGTTCTTCCTTTTGGGCCACCCCGCTCGGTGGGATACAGCCGGTGTGTTGATTTACCATATGTATACCAAAAAAAAATGGGGCTGCATGAATTACAGTATACCAAAGAAAACAGGCTTGCATGAATTACAGTACATATGGGAGTTAACATCGGTATTTTACGTTCTAGCACTGCAGGAGACATAGCAGTACAGTACTGTATACGGGTTTATCTTTACAAAGGTGATGTATGAAGCCGAGTTTGAAAATGAATTAAAGTGTTTTGGGGCATATTTAGGGTTTAAACTGTAAAAATATGAATTTATAGGCATTTTTTTAACCGTGTCCAGAATTCGCAATTTTTCCAAATTTGTAGGTAGTCTTGGAACATAACCCCTGAGAATTTGGTGGACTACTGTAATGGCTATACAGAAATAGGGCGAGACATTTAAACAACAGTGGTGAGGTGGAGATTCTGGTCATAAAGCAAAGACCAAAGTGGTTAAATGACAAGTGGAGAATGATCCTACATTAACCATGCCCAAATTTAAGAAATTAAATTCCCAATTACTAGAAAAGTTTAGTGACAGGAGAGTACAACACCATTTGCACATTAACTTAGGACATCAAATTTTCAGGGCTGTGTGCAAGCCACTTTTCGCTGCTAAGGTAAAAGCCAACAGTGGTTTTTAGGCAAGAAATACATTAAATAAGATGAGGAAAAGTGGAAGTCAGTGGTCCTGAGTGACAAAGTCATTTTTTATGTAACAGTTGGTGAAGTTGTGAACGTGTACAGAGGAAACCAAAGTCACGTAGTCTCGCTCCTAAATACACAAACTTATTAAGCACCCTGCCTCCCTCATAGTCTGGGAGTGTTGTAGCTACCACAGTTTAGGGGAGTTTGTGATACTAGAAAAGAATATTTCAATGAATAAAAGCAGGTATTTAGTGCTTTTATCAGACTATTTGCCTGACAATTTTGAGAAGTGCAAAGCCAAAATTTTTTTGTGCAAAAACAGTGCCCCTTGCCATATTGCCAAAGACATAAAAGACAGGCCAAATGACAGAGATTCCATTCTTTAACCCTTAAAATGTCCAAACATAGATCTATGTTTGCACGCGTAGCACTCCAAATGTAGATCTATGTTCGATTTTACATTGTTTCTTATGTAAAAAAAAGTAGATCTATGTTCGGAGCGCTACGCGTGCAAGTACAGATCTACATTTGGACAGTTTAAGGGTTAATAACTGGCCTGGTAACTCACTGGATTTAAATTTGAAACATTATTCAGAATCAGGTTCATGGCATGAATGTGTCCTCTATCCTCAAGCTCTAGTGTTATTAAGTAAGTGTAGGAGGGTACTGACTCTTCTATCCTCCATAACTTAACCTCGTGAGTGCCTAGGAGACTTGAGGAATGCATCAAAACAAAGGATGATCCTACGAAATACTAGTTTAGGAGAGTAACCCAAAAAAAATCACCATTTTATTTTTAAAATATTTTATGGTGAGCATTCTCATTATGTTTATTTAAGTGCTTACATATTTATGATGCCTACTCTGGTACTGTACCATAACTGATTTCATATGGTAATTAATATATTCACTCTTTCAAGAATTGCCCCCAACTGGTTCAATTTTGTATGAGGAACAACACCTGAACCATACTTATGAACAATTTTATTAAATATTGAACTACTTTTAGTAAATTTAAACAAATTTAGTAATTTTTGCCTTAAGCAAAGAGATTGCTCTATTTTAGCCAGCAAGATTTTACAGTAATTAAAATCATACAGTACTGTACCTTCACACATGTCCATTGGTATCTAGTATGTCTGCAACAAGCCTTGGTAAATGCATGAATTACTCCCATATAATTTGTCCCAGCTGCTCCTAAAAGGGATTCGCATACTTCATCAAACACATCCGAAAACTGAAAGAAAATGTGATTTTTATACAAAATATTAAAGGTAATCTGAATACAAGGTAGTGTGATAAATAACTGAGATTAATGTTGAACACAAAACTATTACTATATTAAAATAGATGTGGTTCAATCACAGTAGTGACTGAGGAGGTATCTCTAAGCACTACTCCCAGCATATAACAAGATGCTGAAGTTATAGTTTCCTATTTGAATATTCATATGTAAAGCAGTAGGTACTTATCTTGAATGTCACATGTCTATGCATCACATCAATCCATTTGCTTCTGTACTTCTTAACCCTCTGTATTATGTAATGGTACTGAGTGTTGCATTTCAGATGCTTATTTTCAATTATGTGAAAGAAGGAAAATTTTATACTGTACACTGTAAGGATTAAAAGAAAATCCATTTGGACTACACTGATTTTGCAATGTGAATAAAGATAAGCTTAATAGACACTGATTCAGCCTGTTATCGAGTACATGCATTTACATAGTACAACAGTAACCTCTCTGGCTAACAAAATAGCAAGTACTGCACATGTGATACTGCTAACTCTACAAAACAACATTCAGTAATGATAAAAGTACTTTAGGTCATAATAGAAGCAAAAATCAATTACGTATACATTTTAAAGATGGCTAGAACATAAACTTCTAAACATATTTAACATGCTCTACTTGAGTACTGGCTCTAAATAAACAATGGGAATATACTATGCTGCTCTCTACTAAATGAATGAAATTGAATGGAAAATTTTTTAATAAGAAATAACTATAATGAATTCTAGGAAGTAGGCTGGTAGACAGCAACCGCCCAGGGAGGTACTACCGTTCTGCCAAGCGAGTGTAAAACGTTAGTCTGTAATTGTTTTACACGATGGTAGGACTGCTGGTGTCTTTTTTCTGTCTCATAAACATGCAAGATTTCAGGTACGTCTTGCTACTTCTACTTACACTTAGGTCACACTACACATACATGTACAAGCATATATATACACACCCCTCTGGATTTTCTTCTATTTTCTTTCTAGTTCTTGCTCTTGTTTATTTCCTCTTATCTCCATGGGAAAGTGGAATAGAATTCTTCCTCCGTAAGCCATGCGTGTTGTAAGAGGCGACTAAAATGTCGGGAGCAAGGGCTAGTAACCCCTTCTCCTGTATAAATTACTAAATTTAAAAAGAGAAACTTTTGTTTTTCTTTTCGGGCCACCCTGCCTCGGTGGGATACGGCTGGTTTGTTGAAAGAAGAACTATAATGAATGAATTATGACAAATACAACTTAATTCTTAATATCACTGTTTTGCTACAAGGCCATATACTAACAGATGTAGATTTGGAAGAGAGCTGTTGCCAAAGATTAATCTCAAATGTAACTTATATTTACTTATTATCTGTGATTTTGAGCTCCCTGTAATGATATGCAAGATACATTCTGAAGGCTACATTTGTTTTAGTAACATTTTACGAAGTCAATATAACCATCAATTCAAGAAAGATAATCTACAAATTTGAGTTACTTTTTTTTTTTTTTTTTCAACAAACCGGCTGTATCCCACCAAGGAAGGGTGGCCCAAAAAGAAAAACGAGAGTTTTTCTTTTTAAATTTAGTAATTTGTACGGAAGAAGGGGTTACTAGCCCCTTGCTCCTGGCATTTTAGTTGCCTCTTACAACACGCATGGCTTACGGAAGAATTCTGTTCCACTTTCCCATGGAGATAAGAGGAAATAAACAAGAACAAAAACCAGTAAGAAAATAGAAGAAAACCCAGAGGGGTGTATGTATATAAATGCTTGTACATGCATATGTAGTGTGACCTAAATGCAAGTAGAAGTAGCAAGATGTACCTGAAATCCTGCATGTTTATGAGACAGAAAAAAGACACCAGCAATCCTACCCTCATGTAAAACAATTACAGGCTTCTGTTTTACACTCACTTGGCAGGGCGGTAGTACCTCCCTGGGTGGGTGCTGTCTACCAACCTACTACCTAGATAATACAAAATATGAGCAAAAAAGTTAACTGAAATATCTCTAAAAGTTATCTTTATCTGCACAATTAGGAAAAAAATGTACTGAACAAAATACAAACCAAATACCGTATCTTTTTCCTTCCAAGCTGAGAGAATCTTCTGTACAGCAAAATTTGCAGAGTGATGCTGAACCAATGTTGCCATATGGCCCTTGAAGTATTTTTGAAAGATCTCAATCTGCTGGTTACTTGTGGAACACAATACCACAACCTGATTAAAAATGTCAAGTATAATGTTAGTTAAATATGCATTACAATCTTTATTACTGTATTAAAAACATAAAAAGGGAGTGGAGGAGAGCTAGTTAAAAGGGAAGGGAGGACAAAAGGGTAGGGTAGCACACAGAATAAGTAAGGGATATGAAGAGCAAGGGATAGAAGGGTAAAATGCTGAGAGAAAGATGTTGATCATATTTTAAAATTTAATTACTGATGCAAATGACCAAATAAAACATAATCCAACAAAGAAACACCAATATACCTCCAGTAGGCGTGTGGCTGGGTTGTCTTGGAACAGAGGAGGAATATTGACTTGCGTACCTACTTCAAATTTGTCTTCGTAGAAAGCACTGACTCCATTAAAACCATGTTGGAGAATATGAGCCACTAAAGTTTCACAAAGTGTCTCCTCGACATCATTCAGCACCAGAAGCAAAGATTGCAACACAGCTGAACCAGAATCACTACAGATTATTTCTGGAAAATATGAAAAAAATAATAGGTAATAGGCTAGAAGATGGCAACGCCCCACAAAGATACTGTACAACCGCACAGCCATAAGAAGAAGCAGAAGCCTGTTAAATATTTAGCACTCTGGCAGGATTGCTTGTTTTTTCTGTCTCACAAAAATGAATAACTTCAACTTAGTTTCAGTAAAGAATAATAAAAGTTACAGTACCATCACTGGACTAATTCACAAATGCACACACTGGTGAAAAAACTTTTAAACAACATTTCTGTCTGTTCCGGAATACTATCAACTCACAACTGAGCAAGAAAAAGGAGAGAAAATCAGAAGAGAAGTCAGGTCAGAAAGAGGGAAGGTTAAATGAAGTCAGGTCAGAAAGAGGGAAGGTTAAAAAAGTTAGAAGAGAGACCAAGGAACTAATATATCAGAAAAGAACTTGTTAAATCATCACTTATACTGAACATTCCTAACATGCACCTTGGTCCAGGGTTTGTTTTTAGTTCATGTCTACTGTTCTCAATACATTATTAAATCCTCTTATCTTCAGAATACTCATAACTTGACTTGACCTGACCTTATCGCTTTTACATCTTCTCTTAACCCTTCTTCTTGAATTTCCTTCATTTTTCCTATCTTCTGACTTTTTTCATGTATATTTCCTTGTAGTCTAGCTCTGGCCAGAGGGCCTACCTCAGTGCTCTGCTTTTCTGCACTCTTCATGAGCCTCTTGACGAATGTGTGATAGTACAAGGTGGAGGCACCAAGCTACACTATCCTCTTGAGAAGTAATTTGTTTTCTCATTCATTACTCTTTACCTTTTTCTTATAACATACTGGCCATATCACACAAAAATAAGGCAACCCCCCCTCCCCCCCCCCCCAAAAAAAAAAAAAAAATTCACCCAACTGCTATCTAGCCAGAAGTGTGCTGACACCAGTGCCATTATCACCCCCATTTGTGACTTAATGTTTTAGAACAGACTGAAACATCCTCTAAAATGTCCTCTCCAGTGTGTGGGTTATTTCTTACATTTAGTATGGTATAATATAAGTATTTTACAACACTTTACTTCTTCTTCTATAATATTTCCTTTCCAATTTAGGTTTAGTCTAAGACTGGATCATAAGGGTAATGATCCATGGAACCAATAACAAAACAGATAAACGTATCATTTTTAAAAAGGTGAACAAAATGTGAATACTGTAATATTACTTAACAAACATTCATGTTAGAAAATAAATTAACTATTTCTCTTAATTCATTAACTTGTTTCACAGAGATATATCATGTATTGTATCATGGAACAACAGTACTTTATTCAATGAAATTACAATACTGAATAGATATGGAAAATAGATGAGCTTACCTGAAAGGTTTGGTAATTTAGTAAATCTGATAGCAATATCCTGCACTAATTGTTTCAATACTGATGGAACTGTCAGGAAATTCCCCTCATCTTTAAGCAAGGCATGGTTAGTTTGTGATCGATGGCTGCTCTTCACAGCATCTTGAATTTCCACACCAGAACATACTTCTAACACTGACCGTACAACATGACTGGCATAGGTATGACATACAAAGTCTTCTAAGTTATTGTAAACAAATCTTCCAACCTATAAAGATAAAACACCAAAAATTATACACTGTTAAATCTCTTCAAAAGTAACATCTTCCAATAAAATGAACAAAAAACTAAAGCCCAAGGAAAAGAGAGACCTGACTTCAATTAACAAGGATGATTAATGCACTCTCCATGGGGATGTGGAACAGAATTCTTCCTCCGTAAGCCATGCGTGTCATAAGAGGCGATTAAAATGCCAGGAGAAAGGGGCTAGTAATCCCTTCTTCTGTATACATTACTAAATTTTAAGAGAGAAAGTTTCATTTTTCTTTTTAGGTCACCCAGCCTCAGTGGGACAGGGCCAGTTTATTGAAAAAGAGAAAAATTTACTGCACTCTCATTAAGTTTGCTTATATTCTCATCAACAGGTAAATGTACACAGTACAATATACTGAATGAAAGTTCAGACACATGTGCAACATCTGGATATCTTTATTGTAGACATATCACCGTCCAGTGGCTTTATCAATACAGATTCTAGGACATAATTAGAAGACAGTAGATAAAGCCATTGGATGGCAAAATGTCTACAATAAAGATATCCTGATGTTGCACATGTGTCTGAACTTTCATATTGTCGGTATTTTATACCTTTCTTACACAACTTGTCAGACACTGCAACATCATGGAATCTTGGTTCAGAGGACATCTACAAGACCTTCTTCACAGCTACTACAACTAACCCATCCCTTTGGGTAGGACCTACTTCCACTGGGGAATCCCGCCTACCAGTGACTATGCCCTCGTCTGCTACACGTCCCTATCCACTGACACCTATATAACCGCCAGTCTCCTTGCCTTTGCTCCAGATTCTCCACCACCACAATGCTGTGAACACTAACTCCAAGGCTGAGGGACTGATTACCTCATCTTTTGTATATAGTTCTACTGTCTTCTAATTATGTCCTAGAATCTGTATTGACAAAGCCACTGGATGGCAAAACGTCTACAATAAAGATATCCAGATGTTGCACATGTGTCTTAAACTTTCATACTGTCGGTATTTTATACCTTTCTTGCACAATATACTGAATAAATATCAGCTCAATAATTTGTTTTTATTTAACCTAGTGGCTGAACAAAATTCACAACCCAAAATGGAATATTATTATAAATTGGAAAAAATTAAATCCCTTGCAATCACACAGCAACCAAAAAATGAGGCAATTAGATTTGATCCAAGAAATTTTAATTACAACAAGTACTACACAGTAGAAAGTGGAAAATCATTTGTGGATGCAGTAGAGCCTATCATGATCAAAGGATTACATAAACATCTGCCTTTCAATACAGTGGAAAATTGGTTGTTGAACTTAACCCCTTGACTGTCGCAACCCCCAATCCTGAGGTGTCTCCTTGTGCTGCAAAATTTAAAAAAAAAAATATATTATTTTTTTCTTATGAAATGATAGAGAATCTTTTCCCGATTGTAATGACACCAAAAAAAAAAACGAAATTTGATGGAAAACTGACGGAATTACGCTCTCACAAAGTTAGCGACCTCGGTGATATTTACAAATCAGCGATTTCGCCCACTTTGAGCCCTATTTTTGGCTAATTCCATTGTTCCAGTCGGCCAAACTCATAGCTATTTCTTTAGAACTCCATTTTTTCTATCGACTGAGTACAAGAAACTGCCCATTTACTGATTTCAACTACCCAATAACATGGTCAGAAATTTGCAATTTGGCCAATTTCACAAAAATTAAAAAATATGCCAATTTCAAAATAGGGTCCAGAATGAGCAATACAGACATTCCTGGCTCTAAAATAACATTTTCTTTGTTCATCAGTCATGTCTCCAGGCCCCTCTGATATTACTCTTGCTTTCTATTTAGAATTTTTATTCAAACAAAAAATAGAAGATTTACTGTTACGCAGACTACCGCAATACTGTAATAATTGTACCCATTCATGACTACATATTAGAATGGCTAGTTGGACATTTATTGAATAATAACATCATTTGTTTACTTTTCAACATCAGCAAAAATCAAACATTCCCCTACTTTGAGCTCCATTTCCAGGTTCTTTTTATAGTAAAATCAATCAAAATCACTTCTATTTCTATAAATGTTTTCCATTCTATCAAATGAGACCAAGAAAACGAGAATACAACCATAAATACTATACAAAAATAGACCACAAAATCAGCATTTTAATTACAGAAAAACAGTCAGTTTTTTTTTTTCTCATTATGCACTGCATGCTCCAGGATTTTTTTTATATGGTGCACACTGACCACACAGACCCATTCTCTCACATGTGGGCCTACCAGCTTTCTCCTGCTTGATTTGAAGCCGCTAGAATTTATGAGTATACATACGTCAAACACGGTACCTTGTAAGACGTATATATATATACACGACCAAAACAGTCAAAGGATTAATTTGCTCCGGATGTCAGTTCGACAACAAAAATGGTTGACAACCAAACCAGTGTTTCCCATAAAGAATAATGCAAATAGAATTAATCCATTCCAGATCAAAAATGACAATATAATAATAAATTAATAATGTACTGACTACTACATAAAACAATGTATAAAACTATACAGAACATGGAAACTGTAAAAATGAATACTAATGAAAATCTAACTGAAATACTGCACAGTAAATGAAAATTTAACTGCCTCTTACTTGTCAGAGGAGAGCTAATGGTAAAATTCTGGCAGCTTCAAATCTAGAGGGAAAAAGCTGGTAGGTCTACACGTGAGAGAATGGGTCTGCATTGTCAGTGTGCACAGTATAAAAAAAAATTCTGCAGCACGCAGTGCATGAGGAAAAAAAACTGAGATCATGTTTTTGGTTTAAAACAGCGACTTTGAAGGTATTTTTGTAAGGTATTTATGGTTATATTCTCATTTTCTTCATCTCATTTGATAGAATAGAAGATATATTACAGAAATAGAGATAATTTTCAATGGTTTAAAGTAGCTTGAAATTGAGCTCAAAGTAGTAGGAATGTTCAATTTTTGCCATTGTCAAGAGTAAACAAATCACGTCACACGTCCAATACACGTCAATTGGTTTGTCTAATATGCATTCACAAATGAGCTGGTATTATTTATACAATTATTTCAATTATGCAGTACAGTCTGAATAACAGTAAATCTATTTTTTGTGAATAAAAATTAAAAATGAAAAGCAAGAGTAATATAAGAGGGGCCTGGAGACATGACTAATGAACAGATAAAATGTTATTTTAGTGCCAGGAATGTCTGCAGTGTTTATGCTGGACCCTATTTTGAAATTTGCCTTTCTTGAATTTCGTGTGCAATTGGCCAAATTAGGAATTTTAGATCACTACTGGGTAGCTGAAATAAGTAAATGGGCAGTTTCTTGTACTCAATCAATAGAATAAAAGGAGTCCTAGTGAAATAGCTATGAGTTTGGTCGACTGGAACAATGGAATTGGCCAAAAATAGGGCTCGAAGGGGGCAAAATTGCTGATGCGTAAATATCGCCGAGACCACCAACTTTGCAACAGCATAATTCATTAAGTTTTCCATCAAATTTCGTACTTCTGGTTTAATTCCCTCCACAAGATACACAGCAAGAGCTCAAGAGATGTTTACAGCATGCACATTAGTTGCTATACTGACTGAGACCCACGCTGTGGACTCTGGTGATCACGTGATCCAAGTGTTGTCGGACAACAACTAAGACCACATATGAAAACCAGGGCCGAATTCCTCGTTCGAAAACCGATATGTTCAACAACTAGTTCGTTCAGCAACCATGGTTCCCCTGTATTTATAATCTATAGTGGTGCTGGTGCACAGGGATTGAAGTGATACCATCTTCTTTACACAATTTATATTCATTTAAGTGTGAAAGCTATTCTCTCTTAGGTCCAATCTTTCTACCCTATTGAGGTAGCCTGACATTCTTACCTTGTGCATGAATTTGCTGAATTCTTCTTGTTGTTCATCTGTGACTGCTACTATATTCTCCTTAATCTCTCCTCCATCAGTTTCCTCAAAATGCTTTTGCACTGCACCTTTCTATTAAAATAAGAAATATTATCAAAGCATTTAAGTTGCTATGCAATAATGAAATGTGAAACTCAATATATGACAATGTATACAGTATGTATGTGCATGCATATATATACATATACATCTTTCAACAAACTGGCCATATCCCACCGAAGCATGGTGGCCCAAAAACAAAAAGTTTCGTTTTAACTTTAGTAATGTATACAGAAGAGGCGGCTGACATGCTGGGAGCATGTCAGTCACCTCTTACGACATGCATGGCTTATGGAGGAAGAATTCTGTTCCACTTCCCTATGGGGATAAAAGGAAGCAAGAAAAAGAACTAGTAAGAAAATAGAAGAAAACCCAGAGGGGTGTGTATATATGTATATGTTTGTACATGAATGTGTAGTGTGACCTAGGTATAGGTAAAAGTAGCATGTTTATGAGACAGAAAAAAGACACCAGCAATCCTACCATAATGTAAAACAATTACAGGTTTCCGCTTTACACACATTTGGCAGAACGGTAGTACCTCTCTGGGCAGTCAGAGGGCTGAAGACAGGTTGAGGTGGTTTGGTCATTTAGAGAGGATGGAATAAAGTAGAATGGCCTGGAGAGTGTATAACTTTGTAGTGGAAGGAAGGCGGGGTTGGGGTCTTCCTAGGAAAGGTTGAAGGGAAGGTGTAAAGGAGGCTTTGTGTGCAAGGGGCTTAAACTTCCAACAAGCATGCACGAGCGTGTTAGATAAGAGTGAATGAAGACGAATGGTTTTTGGGACCTGATGAAGTGTTGGAGTGTGAGAAGAGTACTATTTTGTGAAGGTATTCAGGGACGCTGGTTAGTTGGACTTGAGTCCTGAAAATGAGAAGTACAATGCCTGCACTTTAAAGGAGGGGTTTGGGATATTCGCCGTTTGGAGTGACATCTAAAGTGTCATATCTGAGAGCTTCTGCAAAGACACCGATTATGTAAGAAAGATGGTGAAAGTATTAAATGATGATGAAAGCTTTTTTTTTCTTTCTTTTTTGGGTCACCCTGCCTTGGTGGGAAATGGCCAATGTGTTAAAAAAAAAATTACAGTGGGTAGAATGAAAGGGGATAAGGCAGCTGGGATTGATTGAGATAAAGATAGAAATTTTAAAAGCAGGTGGGGATACAGTTTTGGAGTGGTTGGTTCTTTTATTTAATAAATGTATGGAAGAGGGTAAGGTACCTAGGAATTGGCAGAGAACATGTATAGTTCCACTGAATAAAGGCGAAGGGAATAAAAGAGAGTGTAAAAATTATAGGGAAATAAGTCTGTTGAGTATACCTGGTAAAGTGAATGGTAGATTTATTACTGAAAGAATAAGAGTAAGACAGAGTAGAATAGAAGACAAACAAGGAGGCTTTAAGAAGGGTAGGGGGTGTGTAGACCAAGAGTTTACAGTGAAGCATATAGGTGAACAGTATTTAGCTAAGGGTAAAGTGGTTTTTGTGACATTTATGGACTTGGAAAACGTGTACGACAGGGTGGATGGAGGGGAGCAATGTGGCAGATTTATGGAATAGGAGGTAGGTTACTGAAGGCAGTGAAGAGTTTTTACAAGGATAGTGAGGCAAATGTACATCTTATGAAAATAGATTTATTGAAATAAAAGGTGATATGAAAAGGGCCTGGCAAACCTTCTCCAACATTTTGGGCTCTAGAAAACTGTCTAGAAACAGAGATAAACTTAACTAAACCAGATGAACCTCACATACAGCCTACAAACACAGCCAACAAATTTAATGTCTTCTCCTCTACTGTAGGATCAAAGCTAGCAAGCAAATTTCCTAGCTCAAATACCTAGCTGAAAGACTACCTCACTGGCAACTACCCAAATACAGTGGACCCACGGTTTACGATATTATTTCATTCCAGAAGTATGTTCAGGTGCCATTACTGAACGAATTTGCTCCCATAGGGAATATTGTGAATTAGATTAGTCCATTTCAGACCCCCAAACATACATGTACAAATGCACTTACATAAATACACTTACATAATTGGTCGCATTGGGAGCTGATCGTAAAGCGGAGATCCACTGTACTCTATATCTAGCTGCAACTAATTTTACTGAGGTCTCCCTCATCATTAAAAAACAAAGTAGGAGATCTAAATAACTTAGCCACCATTCATATATAAAATACCTGCTCATGTGCTGTCACCCATTATTGCAACACCATAAGAAATCTGTAAAGTCCTCAACCTTCCCATTCATACTCAAGACAGCAAGGGTTACCCCAATCCTTAACCCCTTGGGGGTTGCCAGGCCCTCTCAGAGACTTGTTCTCAGGTTCGCCAAAATTTCAAAAAAAAAAAAAAAAAAAAAAAAAAAAATGAAAAGATAGAGAATCTTTTCCCGATCATAATGACACCAAAAGTATGAAATTTGATGGAAAACTTACGGAATTATGCTCTCGCGAAGTTAGCGGTCTCGACGATGTTCACACATTGGCGATTTTGCCCAATTTGAGCCCTATTTTCAGCCAATTCCAGTGTACTAGTCGACAAAAATCATAACTATTTTGCTAGAACTCCGTTTTTTCTATCGAATGAGTACAAGAAACCACCCATTTACCGATTTCAACTATCCAATAGTGAGATCAGAATTTAGCAATTTTGCCAATTTCACACATATTTCAAAAGATGCCAATTTCCACATAGGATCCAGAATAAACAAGAAAGACATTCCTGGCACTAAAATAACATTTCCTCTGTTCATTAGTCACATCCCCAGGCCCCTCTTACATTTCTTTTGCTTTCCACTTGGATTTTTTATTCTCACAAAAAAATAAGATTTACTGTTATGCAGACTACTGCATTAGTGTAGAAATGGTATAAATACTATCAGCGCACTTGTGAAAGGATATTAGACTCACCAGTTTGTATTGGGCGCTTAGCATGATTTGTTTACTTTTGAACTTTGGTAAAAATCAAACATTTCTGTTACTTTGAGCTCAATTTCAAGGTGCTTTTCATTGTAAAACCAGTCAAAATCATCTCAATTTCTGTAAAATGTCTTCCATTCTATACAATGAGACCAGGAAAACTAGAATACAACAATACATACCATACGAAAATACAGTGCAAAGTCGCTGTTTTAAACCAAAAACACGGTCAAAGTTTTTTTTATCTCATTACGCACTGTGTGCTGCAGGATTTTTTATATTCTTTCATATGTAGGCCTACCAGCTTTCTCTTGCTAGATCTGAGGGCGCTAGAATTTATGCATACTAGTACGTAAAAAACCCTGGTGCGTAAGCCGTACTAGTACGGCCGAAACCCCAAAAGGGTTAAAGGAGGTAATCCAACTGATCTGAACAACTATAAACCTATATTAAACTTGGCCTTACTTTCTAAAATATTTGAAAAAGTAATACACAAACGATTTTACTCCTATCTTATATCCAACAACATACTTAACCCCTGCCAGTTTGGGTTTAGATAAAAAAAAAAGTATGAATGATGCCATTATACAAATGCTCTAATATATACAACCCTCGATAAAAATGAAAATCCTCTGGAGCTCTTCATTCACATATGGAAAGCATTTGATACAGTGGACCACAGAGGACATTCCCTCGATTACCTAAAATCTTACCTTATGTTTACGTAAATGGAGTCAACTCCACTATCCAGCCTGTAGCTGTCGGAGTGCCCCAGGGTAGTCTCCTAGGCCCATTCATCTTTTTCATCTACATCAATGATCTCCCCAATGCATCTCAACTCCTTAAACCAGTTCTATTCACAGATGACACTATTTATGTCTACTCCCACTCAAACCCAGCTATACTTAGACACTGTAAACAACAAGCTGCTAAAAATATATACTTGGATAATGACCAACAAACTCACTCTCAACATAGACAAAACATACTTCATGCTGTTTGGAAACAGAGTTTTAACTCTTTCAGGGTTGGTGCCGTACTAGTACGGCTTGCACGTCAGGGTTGGTGCCGTACTAGTGTGCATAAATTCTAGCGCCTTCAAACCTAGCAAGAGGAAGCTGGTAGGCCTACATATGAAAGACTAGGTCTATGTGGTCAGTATGCACAGTATAAGAAAAAATCCTGCAACACAGTGCATAATGAGAAAAAAAAACTCCGACTGTGTTTTTGCTTTAAAACAGTGACTTTGCAGTGTATTTTCATATGCTATTTATGGTTGTATCCTAGTTTTCCTGGTCACATTTTATAGAATGGAAGACATATTACAGAAGCTGAGATGATTTTGATTGGTTTCAGAATGAAAAGTACTTTGAAATTGAGCTCAAAGTAGCAAAAATGTTCGATTTTTGCCAAAGTTCAAAAGTAAACAAATCATGCTACGCGTAAAATACACATCAACTCCCGAGTCTAATATTCTTTCACAAGTGCGCTGATATTATTTATATCATTTCTACACTAATGCAGTACACTGCATAACAGTAAATCTTATATTTTTTGTGAGAATAAAAATTCAAAGTGGAAAGCAAATGAAATGTAAGAGAGGCCTGGGGATGTGACTAATGAACAGAGGAAATGTTATTTTAGTGCCAGGAATGTCTGTCTTGTTTATTCTAGGCCCTATTTGGAAATTGGCATCTTTTGAAATTTGTGTGAAATTGGCATAATTGCCAATTTCTGACCACTTTATTGGATAGTTGAAATTGGTAAATGGGTGGTTTCTTGTACTCATTTGATAGAAAAAATAGAGTTCTAGCGAAATAGTTATGATTTCTGTCGACTGGTACATTGGAATTGGGCGAAAATAGGGCTCAAAGTAGGCGAAATCGCCGATGCATAAACATTGTCGAGACCGCTAACTTCGCAAGAGCATAATTCCGTAAGTTTTCCATCAAATTTCTTACTTTTGGTGTCATTATGATCGGGAAAAGATTCTCTATCATTTCATAAGAAAAGAAAAAAAATTTCCGAAAAATTTCCGACCTGAGAACAAGTTTAGGAGAAGGCCTGCTGATCCTGAAAGGGTTAAATATCCAACTTAATACATCGATAAA